TGCATCTGAATTTTCTTTGCATTTTTATAGATAGAAACAATATAGAAAACCAGTTTTAGTGAAGACATCTGTCTTCATTTATACCTATAGTTGCATTTTTATATTATAGACAAATGTGTACAAAATTATCTTAGGCAATTTGATAGACAGCTACCTATTTCATGTAGTTCATAGTTCTGAGGAATCCTAGGGTAGTTTCTAGGTCACAGACAACACTCGCTTTCCTAAAGTCTGAATATTCAACTGATATTTTCAGGTAAAATACTTTCTAGTGGCATTTTAGGTACCTGTCACTAGTATTTCATAGAAGTATGCATAACTTTAGCCCTTGCACAGTTCGTAATGCACATGATAAAAGCATCTTATCTAGGGAAGAGATATGAGAAAATAATATATACAGGTCCTGTTAATGACTGTGATACATGACTGTCACTCTGAGGTTCATGTGTCTTCCCAGATATAGCAACCATCTTTCTGTAAATACCTAAAGAATGACACTTACTAAGGTCAACTGTGAGAACAACTTGACCTATACTCAGTGCATCTGTTTAATATCAAAATACTAAAGCACAGAGCCTTCATCTTCTTTGTCAAACATTCCCTTTATTTTTATTAAAGAAGTCTGCTTGTGGAAGTATAATTACAATGTTGCATGTAGATGAGAACGTAACTTTTGGGCCAAAATATCAAAGAGGAAAAGATTAGATCTGGAGGGCTGTATCTCTTTGAATTTGGACATTGGCAATTAGAACACGGATTAACACTGTTGTTATGCCGTCTAAGACGTGTTTTCATCTATACCCTTAGAAGTATACATTTTTGATGGGTCTTTTCTACCCCTCACTTCCCATCAGGAGGTTATGTCATATCTCACTTTATTGACCAGAATGATTTTACTAAGCAGTATCTCCACGGAGCAAAATTTAAATATAAACGAAGAAGTAAAAAACAACTAAAAATATAAATAATAGCAGGTAGCCTTTGACATACCAACAGAAAATTGATGCTGATTTATTACCAGTACCATCTTTATAGTGTAGAGATAAAGAAGTTAAAGTCTAAACATTAGGCATTGGACAAAAAAACTCAGATTTCCTATAGTAGTCCCTTTATCTAGGACAGTGATCTTGGTTGGAAAGGCTGCAAGATCTCATCTTGTGTATATCCTGATTTTACCCTTGCCTTAGATAATTCTTTTCAGGTAAAAAATCCATCTGGGATTAATTGCAAGAGGAAGACTATATGACGCACTGGACTAACAGTCGATTTTAAGATTTTTGGAGACTAGAGGCCTCTGTGTTTTAATTCCAGCTCTCTTGACTTGTTTGAGTGACTGTGGCTAGGCAAGCACTCTCTTTCTGAAAAAGCCAGCCTGCCACATGACACCACACACATGCTTACAGGTGCTACTGAGGACCATTGGCATTTAATGCCTAGAATGTGTTCCACATGGAAATATAACTACCGTATCACTGGGATCAAGAGATTTTAACTGTTACAGAGTTGCTCAGTCTACCTGTTTAACTTTGACCAGGATTGTATATTTAAGTGCTTGTTTCCAAGCTTTTCAGTGCTCAATGTAATTAGGTGTATACAGTGTATGAGAGTCAGCTTTTATGTTCTGTAGTCAACCTGATGAAATGTTAGGTGACCTGCACAAAAAACAGATTTGCCTCGGTGTTCCCAGCACTGGGGTAGGTCCTGGGTGTGCATTGGTGCACCAGTCAGGAGGGTCCTTGTCCTCGTAGAGTTTACAATCTAGTGATCAGACTGTACCTAAATACGGTTAAAAGCAAACTGGAATGTTTTCATGTACAGGTAGTCCTCGACTTATGATAGGGTTCTGTTCTGATGACTTCATTGTAAGTCAGTTCTGACATAAGTCAAATACCTCCCTTTTTTTGAGTTTTCATTATTATTACCTTTTTATCAGTATCTTTATAAATCTGATCTTTATTTGTCTTTGGGGGTTGGAAAGATTACATATGAGGATATAGATATATTTTAACATATACATACGTAAAAAACACACAAATCATAAAAAATTTTCTTTGACGAAGAAGAGTTGAACAGCGTTGTCATTTTGTCGGTTATGGTAATAACTCCACTTGTGGAAGGTTCTCAATAATATGGATTATCCCTGGGAGTGGGGTTGGTGTTTCTAGTCAGAAAATTAGTGAGAGTTGTCTGTTTGGTCCCTTTCCTTTTTTCTTCATATATTTCATGGTAGCATCTCACTGCTTCCTGAATCTGCCTATGACTTTAGCAGTCAGCGTTTGGGTCTATGTTTTCAAAAGACTGAAGCCCCTGACTTAGTTTAGAAAACTAAATCTATATGACAGTGTTTTGAACAGTAAATCCTAAAATTGAACTTCTGTGAGTGAACATCTGAGAATGATAACATCAGCAAATTACATACTGTAACATTGTATGTAGTACATATTACTAATGATAAGAATTACCAAAAAAAGGGGATGATTGTAAGCGCGGTTCATTGTAACTCAAATACATTGTAAGTTGGGGACTACCTATATATTCATACTTAACATAGGTATTTAATATGAGGTAATTTGGGCAGGAAGTGGGAAAAAATTAGAGAAATGTTTGGCGCTGTCGAGTCGGTTCTGACTCATAGCGACCTTATGTACAACAGAACGAAACACTGCCCGGCCCTGTACCATTTTCACATCGTTGCTGTGTTTGAGCCCATTGTTGGAGCCACTCTGTCAGTCCATCTTGTTGAGGTCTTCCTCTTTTTCGCAGACCTTCTACTTTATCAAACATGATGTCCTTTTCCAGGGACTTGTGGCTTCTAAGGAGCATTCTGGCTGTACTTCTTCCAAGACAGATTTGTGTGTTCTTCTGGCAGTCCATGATATATTCAGTATTCTTTGCCAACACCAGTAATTCAAATGCATCGATTCTTCTTCGATCTTCTTTGTTCATTGTCCAGCTTTCACGTGCATATGAAGCGATTAAAAATGCTATGGCTTGGGTCAGGTGCACCTTTGTCCTCAAAGTGACATCTCTGCTTTTTAACATTTTAAAGAGGTCTTTTGCAGCAGATTTGTCCAATGCAGTATGACATTTGATTTCTTGACTGCTTCTTTCATGGGTGTTGATTGTGGATCCAAGTAAAATGATATCCTTGACAACTTCAGTCTTCTCCATTTATCATGATGTTGCATACTGGTCCAGTTGTGAGGATTTTTGTTTTCTTTCTTTTGAGGTGTAATCCATACTGAAGGCTGTGGTCTTTCGTCTTCATTAATAAGTGCTTCAAGTCCTCTTGACTTACAGCAAGCAGGGTTGTGTCATCTGCATATCACAGGTTGTTAATGAGTCTTTCTCTAATCCTGATGCTCCATTCTTCTTCTTACAGTCTAGCTTCTCTGATTATTTTCTCAGTGTACAGATTGACTAAATGTGGTGAAAGGATGCAGCCCTGACACACCTTTCCTGATTTTAAACTACACAGTATCCCCTTGTTCTGTTCGAACGACTGCCTCTTGGTCTATGTACAGGTTCTGCACGACCACAATTAAGTGTTCTGGAGTTCTCATCCTTCACAATGTTATCCATAATTTGTTATGATCCACACAGTTGAATGTCCTTACATAGTCAATAAAACACAGGTAAACATCTTTCTGATATTCTCTTGCTCTTGAAAGTAGAGTAGCTAATGTGAACGGAAGAAATAATGAAGTACAAGAACTGAACAGAAGATTTCAAAGGGTGACTCGAGAAGACAAAGTAAAGTATTACGATGAAATAGAGAAATGATAGCTGTACTCAGATATTTTATGCTTGTCATGTAGAAGGGTTAAACTTGAGCTGTGCTGTTTTGAAGGCTTAGCACATTTATTTAAGAAATATTTTAACTCCCAGTCATTCAGTCAACAAGTGCCAGACACTGTGATAGCTGCTAGAGATACAGTGTTGAACAAGCTACAGTCTCTTCCTGGATATAACTTCTGTTCTAGTGGGGAAGATATGTTCAATAACTAATTATACTTATTTAATTGGATTATGATAAGTGACACAGAAATACAGGCTGCTAAGAGTATATAACAGGGGACCTGACCTAGTCTGGGAGGGGGAATGGGAGACCTAGAAAGACTTCTCTGATGAAGTGAATGTTTAAGCTGAGATTTTTAAGGATGAAGAGTTAGCTTGGGAGAAGGCAGGGGTAGAATCTGTCAGGCATAGTGGCAGCATGTTCATCATCCCAGAGTGGCAAAGAGTATGGCTTGGCTGAGAAACTGAAAGGCTAGAGGGGCAGAGTAATGGAGAGGGAAAGGGTGTGTGGCTTGTGATGAGTGATGTGGGCCCACTAAGTACTTTGCGCCTTGCATTGTTATTACTGTTGGGGACAAGAGAACACTGTCCTGCCTCCTAGAGCTCCTTGAATAATTACTCTGTGCCACACACTATGTTTTGGGATGCATCATCTTGCTTAATCCTCACACAACCTTATAAGGTAGATGCTATTATTATTCTTACTTTATAGACAAGGTAACAAAAAGTTAGATGTTCAACGCTTACATAGTCAAAAGGTACACCAGTATTAAGTGACAGGGCCTGGATTTCAACTTGGAACTCTATAGTTCTAGAGCCCATCCTGCCCATGTGTTTATAGCACCAGTAGAGCAGACTGGCAGAGATTACAAGTTCAGCACAATATAAAGAATTTTCCAGCAGCTAGCTATTCGGAAACGTAGATGGGGAGAGGCATGTGCTTCCAATGATTATAGTGTTCTTCCCAGCGGAAATCAGATGGCCACCTGTCAGAGATAGAGTAGAAAAGAGATTGTACCAGATGAACCCTAAACTCCCTTCTGATTGCGTCTGGGATTTTACTTCATTGTAAGATTATTTTATATATATATGTATGTTTTTTTCCTTCAGTGACCATGAAAGACACCAGGTTGACAGCACTGGAAACTGAAGTATCAATTGTCCCCAGAGCAGGTAAAAGTATAAACTTAGTCCAGTGCTTGGGGGAAGTGGGGAGGGAATTGTTGATCTTGTCCATGGTTGCACTAGTGCATAGATGCTTTGTTCATATTCAAGGATTCCACTACTTGCTAGGAACTGAAACATCTATGGCATGAAGTAATTAGTCAGATTACTGATGATTTATTGCTTATTCGGTGCCAGACACTGTGTTAAGTGCCTTATATGCATTATTTATTTTATTCTTCATAGTCACACTACTGGTGTATCCCATTTTACAGATGAGGAATCAGGCTCAGAAATGTTATGTAATTTTCCTGAGGTCCTATAGCTAGTAGTTGGTGGGCCTATGACTTTAATCCAAATCTATTTGGCAGCAAAATTTAGTCTTAACCACTAAATTAAATTGACACCTGTGTGTTGGAGCAAGTCATTTAGTTAGTGCAGAAATTCTTAACCCTGGCCACACCTTAGAAATCCACATGAGTTTTAAAAAACAAAACGTAGTCTCTGGACCCCACCGCTTAAACTGGTCTGGAATGGGGCCTAGGCTTCAGGATTTTGTAAGCTCTCCAGGTGATTCTAGAGTTCATCCAGGGGTGAGAACCACTGAGCTAGTGAATTAGAATTTACATCTTAATATGGCCTTATTTAAATTAATTTTAGAGGGAGGAATAAATTATACGCTATGGTGGTTTTTGGGAATTGGTGGATTCTCTAAGTCCCATCATATATCCTTCATAAATATTGAGGCTCTGGTATTCCTGTGGATATGAATTTAGTCTTAGTGAACTAAATGAACTATAATTTTGAGTTTATCAGCAAGGGTGCCAAATGCAATAGAATTGTGTCTATAGGAAGGGTGTATGGAAGATAGGGAGGTGTTTAGTTTGCTATCTTTATACACGGATAGCTGGTGATTCATTTAATAGCTCATTGGTTGCCATTCTTTATGTTCTGTTACTGTCTACTTCATCTTATGTCAGAGGAATTATAAAATTAGTAGAGATTTTTGCCTTAAAAATTGATGTCTGTTCATAAACATGGACTTAATACAGATTATAGACTATCGAGAAAGAAGGTGGAAGTATTGTTCTTGTGGAAGTATCATTCTTTTGCAAGTGTGGAAAGCTTTCTAAGAAGTCCACGAATATGAATTTCAACCGTATGTCAAATGGTCAGGTGTTCAGATCATTGAGACTGAAACTGAATAGCACCATCATAAGATGTAAATTCTGGGATACAACAATAAATCTCAAATCTTACTAAACATTTTTCATAATTGTATTACGTTTTAGTAGTCAGATTTTGAAAGTTTGAAGTTTTAGTGTAGGAAAATACTTTGTCAACACTGTCAGCTGCTAGACTGCTCCTGTGGGCACTCTTACATATACATGATATCGAATAGACACCCATCTTCAGCTGGCACAGTTAATCCCATCAGTAACGTTTTTGGACAGAGCAGAATGTAATTCAGAAATATTTTCGGTAGGTTATTTTTAGAAGGAACCTTGTACCTGGGATTCATAGCTTGGGCAAGCCTCAGATATCCTTTGTCTTCAGCTACTTAAAATTAATGGCAACCTATAGTGATATTTTGACAAGTTTTTTGTTTAAATTTTTAGCATCCATAGACTCAAAACGATAAGGCATTATCTTCTTAAAGCACTTTTGTAGTCTGTTCTGAAATTTGATTAGTGAGTATAAAATATGTTTTGGGTGTTTCATTTTTTTCTTAACATTTTGTTTTCTCCATACTCTGTAGTCTTTATTATTGTCTTGAAGATGATTTCTCATAGATGCTGTTTACTGTGGTTTTGGAATTTTTTTGCCTCAAAAAATTGCTGTGACAGAGTTGGCATTTTTTTAATTCATCCTCACAAGATGTGGAGTATTACCAAATATGACTTTATATTGAAAGACTACAAATTAAATGCAGTTCTTAAAGGTTATTTAATTTGTAATAAATGCTGCAAAACAATTCCATAAAGTTAGAATTAGGATATAATCTAATTTCTGTTATTAAGCCATGAGTTATTTAAATTTTTTAAATATTTGGCTCAAATAGCATATATAGTTATTTATAAAGCTAATCTAGCTAATATGCTCTCTTCATATTCATATGATTAGTTAATATATTTAACTGTTTGGAAGTTCTTAATTGTTTTTTGAACATAAAAATCATTTAACTGAAGTGTTTACTGTTACAATAGTAAGTACACATTTATACTTAAACTGATAGAATTTCAGTTTGTAAAGCTCAAAAAGAGATTTTCGCTTGAATGTTACATCTAGAATGTTTTTACCTTTATTTGAAAGTGAATATTCAGATGTTATTAGCAGTTCAAAATGCATGTCTTGTTCACATTGCAGATGTCGTGTAGATTAGGTATAGTGGTAACTACATGAACTATGTATTTATTGGTCACACACACAAGTTCAAGTATGCTAGAAATGGTGCTGAAGTAGACAGTTGGCTGTTCAGCCTTCTGAAGACCAGGGCCAAAGCCAGAAAGCAGATTTTGGCCAAGCATAGAGCTGAAACCAAACTGTGGTAAATTCCTACTTTCTATGCTTGTTGAGATCATACAAAGTATTCTCTTTGATCAAATATGATTATCAGTTGTGGAGTTTAAACTTTGTTCAAAGTTCTTCATGAATTAGGAAGTATCTTTTATATAGTGACTAACACCTCCCTCCCCACAGTAAAATCTGATCCTTAATGTAAAATAATAGGAAGATTAGAAAGATTACTGAAATTAACGTGCCTCTTCTACATGTGGACTATGCCAGATACTCTAAGTAGTATTAAAAGACTTTATCTAGGCGTTGGAGCACTTCCTTTTGATAGGGAGACAATAATTGAAAGACAGTATATGGTTAAATGTGTTCAGACACCATTCTAAGTGCTTTACATGTATTATCTCAATCTCATTTAATCTTCATAACAGGCTAGGAGTTTGGTCTTTTTCTTATCCCTATTTTAAACTGTAAATTAAGTTAAATGATTTACCTAAGGTCACACAGCTAGTAAGTTGTGGAGGCAGGATGTGAATTTAGGCAGTCTAAAAATCTGTTGCTTCTCTTATGAGACGAGTTCAAAGATGGAGCCCAAGTTTTGTGGTGCGATGGAAGAAGGAAAGGATACACCAGGGGTTTGCATGATTAGGAGTGAGGTGCATCAGGAGTGAGATCCAGTTTATTTAAAACTGGATGTATTTGGCAGCTCTTCACCTGTCATGAGTGAAAAAGTGACCTTCCTTCCTCATCTATGGTGCTGTTTGCCTTTAGAAGATGATATGAAAACTCCACCTGTGTTGAATTCCCTCCAAAATTCAGTGTAAGTATTGAATGGAAAGAACATGATGAATGTGCATTGACAGTAGCTCATTGTTTTTCACTATTGGAAAATCTGAGAGCGTTCTGCAGTTTTGTAATTTCCATGACGTTTGGTGTCACCGAGTGGAGATGCTCTTCACTGCTTGTTACCTAGGTTAGGGTCTTATTTTAAGACCCATGTAGAAGTGACCACTTGTCATTAATGTGCCTCTCTGACAAATTACAAATTAGGAAGCACTTGAGTGGAGGACAACACAGACTTAAGGTGAGCTAAGTGTTCAGAAAAAGGTGTTACTGAATTTCTTGAGTTTTTACCTAACTGTAGCTTTAGTAATTTAGCTATATGAAAGACTTCTTACAGGCTTTGTAATTGTTTCCCTTTGATGCTGATCACATGTTATTTTACATTCATCTTTCTAACAGATACGCATTAAGTGTCAGGTATATACTAAGCCCTGTTTTAAGCTCTGGGGATGTGGCATTGAAAAGACAGACAAAGTCTCTCCTGGAGTTCACATTCTGCTCAGGGGAGATAATAAACAAGTTAAACAAACAAACAGGAATTTTAGCTGGTTGTAAGTACTGTGACAAAACTGAGCTATTGATGAAATAGAAGCTTACGAGGGGGTGCTACTTTAGATTGAGTGGTCAGGGAAAGCCTCCCAGAGATGGTGTCATTTTGAGCAGAGACCTGAAAGAAGGACAGTTAGTCATACAAGAATCTAGGGGAAGAGCATTCCAGGTATAAAGGGAACAGCAAGTACAGGGCCTTGAGCAAAAATCAGTTTTTATGTCTTTGCAAAGAGCAAGACTAGAGCAAAGAAATGAAGAGGCAGAGTAGTATGAGGTGGAGGCTAGGGAGTTAATAACTGGCTGGCTCATGTGGGTCTTATAGACCTTTCTCATGAGTTTGGCTGTTATTAGCACTGTGGGAAGCTGTTGGATGATTTTAAACAGAGGAGTGATAAATTCTGATCTCCGTATTTAAAAGTCTCTTGTGGATGTTTGGTGGTGAATGAATTGTACAGGAGCAGGAATACAAGCAGGGAGAGTAGTGAGGGAGGCTGCTGTGGTAGTCCAAATGAGAGATGATGGGGCTTGGACAAGGGCGATAGCTAAGTGGATAGTGAAATGAATGAGTTTGCTGGTGGGTCAGATATGGGGGTGGAGGGTATAGAAGAATCCAAGATACCCCTAGGTGTTTGTCTTAAGCCAAGACGCTGATGGCAGTGCCTTTTACTGAGATCCAGAAGACTGGTTGAGCAACAGGTTTTGAGAAGGGGAGTGGCTGTGGAGAGAATTCAAGTCGTGGCTCCCTCATATGAATAGTGTCATCTGTAGCACTGTACTGTGGCATGCAGCCACTAAAGAATATTAAACTAAATGGAATGTCGCTTTGGTATGTGGGAAGTATACTAAGACAGGTATTGTCTTTGGGCTTTTCTTATATTCTTTTTTTTTAGTTGGCACTTAACATTTATTGATTCTGTTTGTTTGGACTACAGACATAAATACAGTTATTTTTATTGTGCTTTAGGTAAAAGTTTACGAAGTAAATTAGTTCCGCAATTAATACAAATTGTTTTGTGACATTGGTTGCCAGCCTCGCTATGTGTCAACGTTCTCTCCTTCTCCACCCTGGGTTCCCCATTTCCATTCGTCCAGTTTTCCTGTCCCTTCCTGCCTTCTTGTCTTTGCTGTTGGGCAGGTGTGCCCATTTAGTCTCATACACCTGATTGACCTACAAAGCACTTTCCTAACATGTGTTATTGTCTGTTTTATAGATCTGTCTAATCTTTGGCTGAAGAATGAACTTTGGGAGTGACTTCAGTTCTGAGTTAAAAGGGTATCTGAAGGCCATACTCTTGGGGTTTCTCCGGTCTATGTCAGGCCAGTAAGTCTGGTCTTTTTTTGAAAATTTGAATTTTGTTCTACATTTTTCTCCCACTCTGCCTGGGACCCTCTATTGTGATCCCTGTCAGAGTTGTTGGTGGTGGTAGCCAGGCTCCATCTAGTTGTTCTGGGCTCAGGCTGGCGGAGGCTGTGGTACTTGTGCCTGTATTCTATTTTCTATACTTGGTTACTTCCAAAATGGTATTATCTCGTTAGAGAAGCTTTCACGGCTGTAAGTGGATGTTCCAGTGTGTCGGGGTGCTAACCTTTAAGTTACTCTTCCATAGGCTGTAAAGCGTGTTTAACGTGTACATCTCAACCCATCACCACCCACCACTGAGTCCAGGTCCAGCTGGTCACTTCTCTTCTTTGTGCATCCACTGAACTATGTCCATTTTTCTACTAGAGCACATGAAGTTCTTCATTGCATTTGAAGAATTCCTCCCCATTTAGTAAATCTTCTTCCCACTTAGTACTCTGCACTTAGTAGACCCTCAAGAAATATTTGAATGAGTTTAAAAAGATATTCCAATCATGGGACTGATTCCAAAAGCTTATGATTTTACTTTTATGAGGGCTTTTTAGAAAAAATGCTTGAACTTGGGTAACTTATATGAAGAATCTCACACGAAGCATGACATTTATATTTTTTTCTGGGGTTAAAAAATATGGCTAAAAGGTCAAATTTTAGAGCCAAAGAGAAACCATGTTGTCAGAAATGCTCTAATGTTCAAAATAAAAATAGATTCTTGCCTTCTGTAAAGCACTTGGGAAGAATAGCTCCAGAAACCAGACTTTTATGCCTACATTAAGTTTACAAACTGAAAAACAAGCTAGGTAGCCCAAGCCGGTTAGCCCTGACGATAGCCAAGTTGACTGGATGGATGCCATCTTTGTTTTGAATTTAGCTCATGTCACTCTGTGCTCTGGGGCTTCCTGCATTTGGGGGACCAGATCTGACATATTGTCTTATTGAATGCACAAAAGACTAACTCAGAGTCTCACTAGACCTACCGAGACTAGGTAAATAACACTCTTACTGGGAAAAAAAACAGACTTAGGGACAAAACACTTTTAAATTCATGTGCTGCATTCTTTGTCACTAATTGGGAACAGTTTGTGATTTACCTGAAGTAGTAATGAATGCGGGAGCTAACTGGATAAATGTACTATGAAAAAGTCATTTGGAAAGTGTGATCTAAAGATTTTTCACTGGTATTCTTAATGAATACGTAAGTGCTATTCAGTGAGTTTATTTGTTCCAGGTACAAATGCTTTACATACATTATCTCATTTAATTCTTCAATGAAAATAAACTCTGATAGGTTGGTATTATCTTTATTTATAGATTTAATTTGATCTAACTTACAATAAAGTGAAATTTCTGTTCTCATTTTTGAATGCATTCACAACAGAATCTCATCATCAGTTGTGGTCCCACATTTCTGAGCCCTTTGGAGTAGACTTCCTTTTTGATGTACCTGTAAGATTTACATTTATAGGTATGAGCCAGCAAGTTCCTACATCATGGTTTGATATCAAGACATTTTAATTGATTTTTCTGGCTAGTTGCCGAGAGCTGGATCAGTGAATGTTGTTGTTAGTTGCTGTCGAGTCAGTTCCAGCTCATGGCAACTCTGCATGTACAGAGTAGAGTTTTCAAGGCTGTAACTTTTTGGAAGCAGATTGCCAGGCCTGTCTTCTGAGGTGCCTCTGGGTGGGTTCAAACTACTAACCTTTCAGCTGGTAGTTGAGTGCTTAACCATATGCACCACCCTGGGACTCCTCAGTGAATATGACCAGGTTGTAATTAAACAAGAACATAGGTTATAGTAAGTTCACACCCACCAATTCCTGGGATCATTGTTAATTTGAATTTGGCATCCTTGCAGGGGATTAACTCTTTAGCTGGACTTTTTTCCCCAGCATTTTACTATAAAATTTTCAAACATACAGAAAAGTTGAAAAGATTTTACAGGAGATACCTGTATATCCACAACCTAGATTTTACTATTAATATGTTACTGTACTTGCATTTGTCGGTTTATTCATCTCTCTATCCTTCCATCAGTCCATCCCTTTTTTTGTTGATGTGAGTATATATAAAACAAAACATTTGCCATTTCAGCATTTTTTACACGTACAATTCAGTGACATTAATTAGATTCATCATGTTGTACAACCATCACCACTCTCCGTTTCCAAATTTTTCTGTCACACTTAACAGAAGATCAGTGCCCCCTAAGCAATCACTCCCTCTTTCCCCTTCCGTCCCACTAATAGACTTTGGTCCCCATACATTTGCCTACTCTAGATATATCATGTAAGTGGGATCATACAATATTCGTCCTGATTAATTGCCCAGCTATTGCATGCATGTGAAGCAATTGAAAACACCATGGCTTGGATCAGGTGCACCTTAGTCCTCAAGGTGACATCTTTGCTTTTGAACACTTTAAAGAGGTCTTTGCAGCAGATTTGCCCAATGCAGTGTGTCTTTTGATTTCTTGACTGCTGCTTCCATGGGTGTTGATTGTGTATCCAAGTAAAATTAAATCCTGGACAACTTCAGTCTTTTCTCCATTTATCATAGTGTTTCTCAAACAGAGTTTGTGTGTCACCTGTATAAGACTCATCAGGAGATGTTTGTTAAAATGCAGATTCCCAAGCCCAAAATTAACTTCTGGGGTGGGCCTAGAAAATGGCATTTCTAACAAGCATCTCAGATGTGGTTCTGATACACACTAATGCTTGAGAACCACTACTTTAGCTTACTAAAAGAAAAGCAAATATAAGATGAGAATATAATTTAATATAGCTGTGAATGACATATACAGTCATCGGTCTGGGAGTTAGACCACCTAGTTCTGCTCTACCATGTGACCTTGGCACAGTCATTTATTCTTTATGGGTATCTATGTTCTCATTTATAGAATAAGGATAATAACCTGCTTACCTGACAGAGTTGCTGTGAGGGTCAAAAGCATAAGTTAGTTGAATGCTACATTTAAGGACATAGGGGTTTGGAGTCAAGCAGATCTGGGTTCAAATTTCAGTTTTCTCCCCCTGGTTTTGCTTCTTGCTGGCTTTGTGATCCTGAGTAAATGGCTTGATGTCTGTTTCCATTCCTGTAAGATGGGGACAAAAGAACCAGCCACACTGAGGTAGTATAAGGAGTACATGAGATGATGTTTGTAAAAAGTGTGCACTGCCTGTCTAATAAATGTTAAAACTGTTATTATTTGTTTTTTAAAAAAAACAACTTTATAGAGACCAGAGCATGGAGAAATAAATAATTATAAATGTATAGAGTGACGCTTGGGGAATGAGCTGCTTTCTGTATATAAAAAGATAAGGCAGCTACTTTACTACCTGGAAGAGATGAGGTTTTGAAGGGAGCAGGGTTTGCCCTGATGGTCCATGTCCATGCCTACTTCCCTGGTAACCAGTGACATCCAGGTGTGAGACATGTCTAGGATGAGGAATGCACTATAAAAGTAGAGAAATGGTCCTGGTTCAAACTAGGTATTGATCTTCTGAACATGTTGCCTAAACAGGTTTACTAACTTTTTGACACTGATGGAATTGTCAGGAAGATAATAGTATACTTTCAGTTCTTTTCTGAAAACCACTCATCCACTCAGATCAGTGATTTGACGGTCTTGTCTTACCCAAGCCCCAAGGTAGAATTAGAATTAGGAATAAAACTTAAGTTTGGTCCTGTTATTAAGGTGCTGTGGTGATGAAGTCTGAGTAGTATCAGTTTCTTGGGTTTCTCATTGATAGTTACATTTCCGAGAACTCATCTAATTCATAAATTTGTCAAAGACAAAATTATTCTCACACTCTAGCTTCTTTTATCAGCAAAGTTCTGGCCCGACTTTTCATTGCATTGAACACATTTACTGGTTTGTCCTGTAGGTAATTTTTTATGAGGTAAAATGGGGCCATTTTATCACATCATTAGCCTTTCTTTTTTTCAGTCTGGTAGTGGCACCAATGAAGAACCTTTGGAGTCTTTAACACATGTACTGGAACTGGCATAAGCCCCTCCATACAAGATAATGGCCCAACAAACGAATATCGGGGAGCTCCTCTCCATGCTGGACTCCTCCAAGCTGGGTGTGCGAGATGAGATAACAGCTGTCTTTAAAGAGAACCTCAATTCCGGTAAGCAAAATCCTAGAATTTTTGGTTTATCTGCTAATCGGAGGAGATTGACCAAGAGGTGAATAAAGTCCTAATGATAAATTTTAATTTTTATCTTCTAAAGGGGGTTTTTAAAACTGCCAGAAAAGATTACACATGGATTTGCTATATATGTATGTGTTTTGAACTTTTAATTATGATTCAAGTATACACACACATACAAGTAAAGAAATCATATCATGAACCCCATGAACCCAGCTTCAAAGTTTCTGCCATTCGTATTCCATCTATCCTTTTGGTGCCTACTCACTTTGAGTATTTTAGAACAAATCCCAGATAATATTGTTTCATCTATAAATAATACATGTATTTTTTAATATGAGAACTGCTTAACTTCTTTTTAATCAGAAATATAAATTTAAACACTATCCCTTTTTGCTTATTAGGCTGTTCAAAATCAAATATTGATAATAGAAATGGGCACTGTTAGTAGGAGCATAAATTGGTATTCAGCCTTTTTGGAGTATCCATTATCAGTTTAAAAGCACATACTATTTGGCCCACTTAAAAGAACCTGTACTTCATTATAGCCCTGAATGAAATATAGTGAAAAATTGGAAAAACCCAAATATCATTTAATAGGTGAATGATTAATTATGTAGAGGCGTACAGTAGAGCAGTATGAGGTCAGTGAAAAGAATGAGATAAGCTATATGTACTGACATGGGAAAGTGTCTGCAATACATTGTGAAGTGAAACACACACACACACAAACTGTGTATATGTGGACAGGAGGGGAGTGTGTGTATGTGCATGCATGTGCACGCATGTGAGGGAGAGAGAGGATGCAAGCAGAAGAAGGTTTGAAAGGACACTTAGGCAAACTTAATTTATCTCTGAAGAGTGGGTTGGGAGGCAGGTTGTGAGGAGTACTTTTATATACTTTTATGTAGTCTGGCTTTAAACAGTAGACATGGATTTTTTTTTATTTAAAAAATCAATAAAAAATAAAAGATAGCATTTTGTATGCTTTTATGAATATTTAGGCAAATAAGTTTAGAATTATTCTATTGTTAGAATAGATACAAATAAATAAATTTAAGAAGGCAGAAATACAGTTCTGCATATAACTTTGGGTAGCATATGGTGACACAGTTTCTGAATTTTGTGACAGGAAACTATTTGAGGTAAATTTAGAATGTTAGAAGAAATAGCTATTATAAACTACGCTTCTCTTTATGTAGACCGAGGTCCTATGCTTGTAAACACATTGGTGGATTATTACCTGGAAACCAATTCACAGCCAGTATTGCACATCCTGACAACATTGCAAGAGCCACATGATAAGGTAACTGTTGAAATGTAAGAGTAGAGTATTTAGTACATTCTCTGAAAGTGGTGTAACAGTGTCTATGCAGATCCACTGCACAATTTGTCCAGATTGTATTCCTTAGACTTCTTTATTCCGCGGATGACATCGTTCTCAAATTACAACTGCGTATAATTTGCAGGACCCATGTTTCCTGAAAAGTTTACAAAATAAAACATACTTCAGAGATTTCTTTAGATCTTGTTGTTTAAAGAAATTCTATAATTCTAATACTATAATTAATTGTACAGGGACACTTTGACTCATAAGGTACCCATCTTTAAGCTCTTGTTTTGAATTGGATTTTTAGACTTTTTTCAATATGGGAAATTCTGTAAGCATAGGTAACTAATGAGGCTAGTCAGTGTTGTTTCCCAGCACCAGGCACTTGGAGGGCTCCTTTGTTTTGTTTTGCTCTTGTGGTTTTGTTTGTTTGTGTGTTTTGTAAACAGCTAACAAAGCTTTGTAATTGCAGACTTTGGTAAGTTTTGAGTTCATATATGAGGCTGACCTTACTAGGATTTGAAGATCTTGCAGTTGTGTACCTTTTATAACAAATCTTGTATTTTTTTTTGACTCTGGGCTGAATTTTAACTTCTTTTACTACCTGATTTATATTTGGAGCCAAACTGTGCAGGCTGGGCTACTGTAGCAGTAAGTGGCTGCTTCAACACTTCCTGCTACAGCTGATCCCCTCCCAGCTTCAACAAGGTACCCTGGCTTGGCACTAATGGTTATCTTAAGAAGTGACCTATTTGAGAGGCATTATACTGGCATTTCCTCTCCTTAGCATACCTGGATTATGGGGACCTTTTTTTAGGAATTGCAAACCGGCTATCTCTCAGGCCAAATGCAGAAGTGTTTTATTTGCTAATTTGATTTAAAAAATGTTGTATTTGATCTCTTTACCTGCTTGGCCCTTGCTTTATATCAAAGGGAAGACTTGGGAGACTGGCGTGTATCTTTGCTCCCTTAATTTGTGTTAACTTCATACATTCATCTGAGGATTTCCTGCTCTTTTCCTTGTTCAGCACCTCTTGGACAAGATTAACGAACATGTGGGCAAAGCCACCACTCGTTTATCCATCCTCTCTCTCTTGGGGCATGTGATACGACTGCAGCCATCATGGAAGCACAAGCTCTCTCAAGCACCTCTTTTGCCTTCTTTACTAAAATGTCTCAAGGTAGGATGTTTACAAAGATCTGAATGAAGTTACTTTATGAATATAGTTTCTGAAATTTTGAGCAACTTAAAGCGCTCAAGCTAGATTTTAACTTTAAACAAAAAAAAAAAACCCAAAACTGGGGCCATCGAGTCGATTCCGACTCATAGCAACCCTATAGTATAGAGTAGAACTGCCCCACAGAGTCTCCAAGGAGCACCTGGTGAATTCGAACTGCCAACCTCTTGGTTAGCAGCCATAGTACTTAACCACTACGCCACCAAGGTTTCCTAGATTTGTCTTTATAGAGTTTAAAAAAAAAAAAAAACTTATAGGCATTTGGTTTTTCTCAAAGGTAGTGTTCAGAGTTGGTACTTGATGAGTAAATTCTCATGTTTCACTCTGACTGTTTAATGTTTTTTATCCAAGCAAATATAGTGAAATTTAGTCAGATTGGTTCAGAAATTACATTATTCCAGACCTCTTCTGTGTCATCTCTTCTAGTCTTTCCTCAGTTAAAAACGCACTGATTTCTCTTTTGGGAACCCCCGTTTCTTATTTTTCTTTTAGCTAATAGGATGGTGGTTTAGTAGAAGAATGGCTTAAAGGTTTTTTTAACCTTAGGAACATGTTCTGTTGTAGCTATAATTAAGGTTTTGTTGATAGAAGGCCTAATGAATTGCAGTCTCCTTTTTTTGCACTAAATTTAGTGCATTTTTCTACACAGGGAGTCATAACCTAAATAGAACTTTATGGTTTTAGTTTTGACAGTGGCTTGCTGAAATATTCAGGGCTATTTGCTTAATCTGTTTTAGTTCCTGGACTTGCTCCCTATCTATAATATAAGAAAATGTGGTTAATATTAACTGCCTGTACCTCACAGAGACATGAAAATACCCAGTAGTATTTGTTGGAGGATGGCATTACCTTTGGATTCATCTGACACAGCACCATGCAAATTGATTTTTGTCTCTGCCAGCAAGGGGTAACTGTGTTTTATTCTCCCTAGAGGTGGGTCCCAGGGTGTCACATTGTCAGGGCATCATAAAAATGTTCATTTAATGTTGAGAAAAAAGGAACAATTTTTGCAACTTAATTTTTTTTTTAATTTAAATTGAGAATATTATCCAGTTTTGAGGCATAGTATGTAGTTTAGATTGCAAAGCACCATCTCTTCCGAAAGGGTAAGCTTGGAAATGAATCATGGACTATTGCTTAAGTCTTCAGTTAGAATTTTATGATAAACTGAACTGAGGTTAGTTCCTTTTTGCTGGAACTCACTGTTTATGTGGTAATATATTCTCCTTTCTCCTACCAATATATTACGTTCTTCTTACCAGATATGTCTGCCGTAATAAAAGGCTTTGTGCTTGGCATAAAATCTAAATATATTTACAACTTTATTTCCAGACTCGTAGATTCCTTTTATAATAGGGATAATGGCTGGTCTTAGCCTGCATTGGTAGCCTTTTGATTAATAGCTTGCTTCTTAAATCTGAATTTTAGTTAGTTGGCAAACATTAATGATTTAATTATAGGTCAGGTGAGCTGCTGTAGCTAGTCTGAGTTGATCCATTATCCATTAGGTATTAAGTGTCTTCAGTTAGCCTAAAGTTATTTGACCTGATAGGCATGGTCCAGAGGTCACCATATTGTCTCTTATTTGCTGATCTGTAAATACTGCTCTGAAGGTGAGCCAGTAAGTAGACTTGTTAAAGCTGTATTCATTTCTTCTTAAATTATATTTCTGTTGTTGTAGCCTTTTGAAAAATAGTGAATTTTTTTGTCAGTGTGTAGTGATTTTTTTAAATTGACTTAACAAGAAATAAATATTTTAGGATTTGGATGAATGAAGGAAAACAACAACATTCTCCTGTTCTGTTAAAAAGCAGAACATCTTGATGTTATAAATAGGGCATCCTAAGGCTTTAGCACTTGAGAGTCCCCAAGTCAAGTTTAAACTCATCTGCTGGTTGAGTTTGAATAGGTGTATAAATGGTCTTCACCGACTCCTTAAAGTAGAGCTAGTCTTCAGTAATTTTCCGGTTGAGTCTGTTTCAGTGTTGTCCCCTCAGAATCCTTAGGGGAATGAGTATGTGAGTGAACTTCTAATTTGTGGTTCCCTCATTATTTACAACCTTTTCATATACCACCTAGTGTTAATCCTGTGTCTGACAGGTTTTTCTTCTTACTTGAATTTTTTTCCTGCAGACTGACACCGATGTAGTAGTCCTCACAACAGGGGTTTTAGTGTTGATAACCATGCTACCAATGATTCCACAGTCCGGGAAACAGCACCTTCATGACTTCTTTGATATTTTTGGCCGTCTTTCATCCTGGTGCCTGAAGAAGCCAGGTAAAGTTCTCCCTATATACCTGTCAGATGTTAACAGGTGAATGTTTTCAGTATTGATTAATAGGTCGTACACTGTAAAGGAAGGACATTATGGCTGAAATGGGTGATTTTCACTCTTTAGATGAGGAAATATCTTGGGTGCTTCCATTGTAGGCATTTGTGTAAGAAGCATAACTATTAAGATACCTTCTTTACTCTGGTTGCTTAAAAGGATTTGTTAGAGAGAAATTGAGTGGTAGGATGTAAAACTTTCTAATTATCAGTAGTTAAACTAAAAAACAACTTTAATCTAGATTGTAACTGTATAGGACTGAACTTCTGAACATTTTTCCTTACTCTGCCGGTCTGCTATGACAGACACAAACTTCCAGTTCTGAGAGCCTGTTCCTTTTGTATGTAGAAGGAGGAGGGAGAATGCAGCATGTTGTAATTAACATTCTAGTTTCAAATGCTGCGGGGTTTTTTCCATATCGGCAGGTAGCACAGCTCTATCAGTGTGACTCAGAAGCTATAAGCATATGAAATTCAGAATCTTTTGTTAATCCAGCATGAGATACTGTCATGGATTGAATTATGTCCCCCAAAAAATGTGTGTATCAATTTGGCCGGGCCATGATTCCTTGTACTCTGTGGTTTTCCTATATGTTGTAAATCCTGCCTCTATGATGTTAATGAGGGAGGATGAGTGGCAGTTGTGTTAGTAAGGCAGGACTCAGTCTACAAGATTGGATTGTATCCTGAGGCAGTGTCTTGAGATATAAAAGACAGAAGTGAGCAGTGAGACAGGGGGACCTCATACCATCAAGAAAGCGGTGCCAGGAGCAGAGCGCGTCTTTTGGACTGGGGTCCCCTCGCTGAGAAGCTCGTAGTCTGGGGGAACACTGAAGAGAAGAAGGCCGATAGAGAGAAAAAGCCTTCCCCTGGAGCTGATGCCCTGAATTTGGACTTTTAGCCTACTTTAACTGTGAGGAAATAAACTTTTCTTCGTTAAAACCATCCACTTCTGGTATTTGTGTTATAGCAGCACTAGATGACTAAGACATACCCATACTGAAAGAGTGAAATGTGTAAGACCTGTGAAACAGAATACTGTGGCTTCCTGTACAGGACTAAATGACCAAGCACAGGACCCATATGATGCCAGCTTATTTAGTAGGATCTTTTTTGGGAGAAGGAGTGGTCTATCTATTATTATGGAGGAGCTTTACGTATATTATAGACATGGGGTTTTCCATAGATGTAGATAAGGCTAGAGTAACTGAATTTTCGATTTCTCCCACTCAGTAGTGTATACATAGCTCTTTAATTTCTGGATAATAGTCTTTTCACTCTAGCTTTAAATTTACATAGCTAAGACTACATACTGATTTTAAAAGGCTCTCACACATTCATTCCACAATTATTTAAACGCCCGTTACACACCAAGTACAAGGCATGGAGGATACAGAGGTGAGTAAGACAGTCCCTGTCCTCAAAAAACTCATGCCTAATTGGGCAATGGAGAAGTGGAATTACAAGTTTTAGGAAGAACAACTGTCATTATAAAGGTAGTTCAGTATTGTGGGAATGTTTGGAATCCTTTTTGGGGGAGTACTGGAAAGGAAGGCAGAGATTAGATTACTAAGAGTCTTCACAGGTCACACTAAGTAGATTGGATTTTATCCAAAGGCCATAAGGAGCCATTGATGGATTTTAAATAGGGGTATCTGGTATGTTCAGATTTGCATTTTAGAAAACCACTGACTTGCTCTCTTTGGAGCGAAGCGGGAGTGAATAAAAGGTCATGCTGGCAGCCGTGTATTTGTGTCTATTTTGCACATACCAATCGTGTGTCTAACTAAGAGTCTCCTCTCAATGGTTTCCTTTTTTTAGGCCATGTGACAGAAATCTATCTTGTCCATCTCCATGCCAGTGTTTATGCTTTCTTTCATCGCCTTTATGGAATGTACCCTTGCAACTTTGTCTCCTTTCTACGTTCTCACTACAGTATGAAGGAAAACTTGGAGACCTTTGAAGAAGTGGTCAAGGTAAATTAAAACTGCTTCTTTATTTGATAGCATACTGTTTAGAGAGGCTAAATTTATAACCTTTTGGATTAAGTGGTCGATAGGAAAATTTTGAAAAGAAATTCAACCTTTTTATAATAGTAATAGCTTTATTGAGATGTAATTCACATAGTTTACAACTCACCCATTCGAACTGTACAATTCAGTAGTTTTTAGTATAGTCACAAAATTGTACTGCAGCCACTTTTACAGAACATTTTCATCACTCCAAAAAGAAATCCTGTATCCATTAGCTGTCACTCCTCATTTCCTCCTTCTTTTTCTACCCCTCAGCTGTAGGCAACAGCTAATCTACTTTCTGTCTCTATCAATTTGCCTGTTCTGGACATTTCATACAAATGGTATCATATGATACATGGTCTTTTATGAATGGCTTCTTTCACTTAACATACCTAATGATTTCATGATTCATTCATATTGCAGCATGTATCAGTACTTTGTTCCTTTTTATTACCAAATAATATTCCATTGTATATATATATATACCACAGAAATTCAGCCTTTTTTAATTTGTCAACCCAAACTCTTCTAGCCAATGATGGAGCATGTGCGAATTCATCCGGAATTAGTGACTGGATCCAAGGACCATGAACTGGACCCTCGAAGGTATAGTAACTAAACTAGTGATACAGAATTTTATTAGTTTCCTTTATAGTTACCTTAATATTTACCTCTATTTTTCTAAGTTTAAACCAATCTTTTATTTCTTGATCTCGCTTTGACTTCCTTTCCATACAAAAGTTCTATGACTGCATTATTTAGTCTCTCTTTTTTGTTTTAATGTTGTCATCTTTTATGCATTGACATCTTTGTTTCCCTATTTTCAGTGTTTTAGCTTTGATTTATGTTTGTGACTTCCCCATCTGGGTTGATATCTGGTTGTTCTGTCCTGTGTTCTAGTCTTGGGTTGTTATCTGATGTTACTGATTTTCTAACCAGAGGACTCTCTAGTATTTCTTGTAGTTTTAGCTTGGTTTTTACAAATTCCCTAAACTTCTGTTTATCTGTAAATGCCCTAATTTTGCCATCATATTTGAGAGACAGTTTTGCTAGATATATAATTCTTGGCTTGCAGTTTTTTTCCTTCAAGGCTTTATATATGTCAACCCACTACCTTCTTACCTGCATAGTTTCTGCTGAGTAGTCTGAGCTTAGTCTTACTGACTCTTCTTTGTAGATAACTTTTCGTTTATCTCTAGCTTCTCTTAAAATTCTCTCTTTATCTTTGGTTTTGGTAAGTTTGATTATAATATATCTTGGTGACTTTCTTTTGGGATGTACCCTGTGTGGGGTTCGATGAGCTTCTTGGATAGATATCATCTCGTCTTTCACGATATCAGGGAAATTTTCTGCCAACAAATCTTCAACAGTTCTCTCTGTGTTTTCTGTTATTCCCCTGTTCTGGTACTCCAGTCACTCATAGGTTATTCCTTTTGATAGAGTCCCACATAATTTTTACGGTTTCTTCATTTTTTAAAATTCTTTTATCTGATTTTTCCTCAAATAAGTTGGTGTCAAGTGCTTTATCTTCAGTTTCACTAATTCTGACTTCCATTGCCTCAGTTCTGCTCCTATGACTTTCTATTGAGTTGTCTAATTCTGACATTTTATTGTTAATCTTTTGGATTTCAGTTTGCTGTCTCTATGGATTCTTGCAGCTTATTAAATTTGTCATTGTGCTCTTGTATAACCTTCTTAAGTTCCTCTGTTGCTTTGTTTATATGTTCCTTGGCTTGGTCTGCGTTTTGCCTGATCTCCTTCCTGATCTCTTGAAGAGCTCTGTATATTACTCTTTTGAATTCTACGTCTGGTAATTCTAAGGCCTTCTCTTCCTCCAGGAGGTTTCTTGGTTCTTTGTTTTGGTCACTTGCTGAAGCCATCATGGTCTGCCTCTTTATGTGATCTAACATTGACTGTTGTCTCCAAGCCATCAATAAGTTACTACATTGATTTTATGTTTGATTACTGTGTTCTAGCTTCTTGTTTTGTTTTGTTTTGATATGCCCAAATAGGCTGGGTGTGTGAGCTATTTTGATTATTGATGTCTTCGAAGCTCTCGTGTCCTGTCACCAGGTGGTATGTCACACACTAGGTATGTGAACCCAGGAGTCCATTTACTTTTCTTGTGTGCATTCAGCTGAGGTGTCCAGGTCATCAGTCACCGAGTGTGTGGTGCAGGCTCTCATCTACAGTCCTAGATGGGCAGGGCTACGTAGGGATGACTGGAGCAGGCACAGGTATCTGGCTGCAGTAGGGGGTTATGTGCTGAGCAAGGTAGAGGGCTGACGGCCGCCCCTGAGTACCTAGGTGGAAGGCGTGTCCCTGTTCTCTAGAGTGTGTAGGTGGATGGATTTTGCATCCGAACTTTGGGCACCCAATGCTGTTGGCAGTAACGACTAGGAGGCACCACTTATTCTTGGACCCCTGTTGTGGGTGGCTAGGTGGAGTAGGTGAAGTCATCAGTCCTCAGGCCCCTGTTGTGGGTAGGTAAGGACCCTGCATAATGGGCAGGGTGGTGTCAAATGTAACAAATCTGCCACTCCTCTTTCGGTGTTGAAAATCGGCTTCAGGTATATACCCTGTTGTACTGTGCTAATGAGGGCGTATGCTGTTAAAATGGGCCCACCCAAGTCTAGGCAGGGGTGAAAGGCATTCAAAGTCTGTGGACCCCTTATGCCTGCGCCTAGGCAAAGGGTCTGTGCCTGCCCTGAGTTCCCGGCTTAGGGGAGCTGGCAGATTATTTTTTCCTGTTTGTTAGTCTGTTCCCTCTGCAAAGCCAGGAGAATGGCTTGGGGCGCACAGCGGCTCTCACTTCTGGCCCAGGGGCAAGGCAATCGCTGAAGCCAGACTGGGATTGGAGCAGAGTGGGGAGGGGCTGGGCAAACAGGAGAGAGGTACCTCCCAGAGGGGGGAAGCGCTTTCTTAATCCTGCTCGATTGGTCAGATGCCTGCACTTAACTTTCAAAGATTCAGCACTGCTTCTCCCTGGTTCCGGAGACTTGAGCAGAGTCTCCACCGCTCAGTCTCTCTAGGTGTGCAGAATGCTCCCTGAGTGCCACTACTTGCCTTAGCCTGCAGGGCACAGGCCAGGTCAGGTCTGGCAAATCGTCACTGCTTCTGAACCCTCTCTCCCTCCCCCTGCCACTCAGTCTAACTCCTCAACCTTATCTTTGATGTTCAGGGCTCCTAGATTGTCATATATGATTGATTTGCTTGTTTTTTCGGGTCATTGTTGTAAGAGGGACCACAGGAAGCATCTGACTACTCTGCCATCTTGGCCCTGCCTCTAGTGATACAGAATTTTAAAGAATCTCTTGAGAGATTGAAAATGTAATCTAGGAGATGTCCCTATTAAGGTATTATTTGGGAACACAGATTTTCTTCTGCTTATAGAATCATTCCATTTTGAAGTACTTATACAACTTTGTTTGAGTTTAAAACATATTCCTAACAGATAGATGGAGAACTAAATACTGTTTTATTAGAGAGGTGGACTTTTCAATGCAAGTGCTTGCCCCGCAGAACCCCAAGAAAGCTTACACCTTGGTGGTTCCAGTTACAGGCAGTCCCTGGGGTTATGAACGAGATCCATTCCTAAGTGTGTCTTTAAGTCATATTTTTAGGTAAGTCTGAACAGGTGCATTAGTTCTTATTTAACCTTACTTTAGTGCAAGAATGGAGCCCTGGTGGCACAGTGGTCAAGATCTCGGCTGCTAACCAAAAGGCTGGCAGTTCAAATCCAGCAGCTGCTCCTTGGAAACCCTATGGGGCAGTTTTATTCTGTCCTATAGGATCACTATGAGTCGGAATTGATGTGACAGCAACTGGTTTGGTTTTTTTTGGTTTATTGCAAGAAAGGAGCCCTGATGGTATAGTGGCTAAGAGCTTGGCTGCTAACCAAAAGGCCAGCAGTTCGAATCTACCAGCTGCTCCTTGGAAACCCTATGGGGCATGTTCTACTCTGTCCTATAGCGTCGCTAAGAGTCAGAATCGACTCAGTGGCAATGGGCTGGTTATGGTTAGTGCAAGAAAAGGCTCAAAGCCTTGTCAATGATTTAAAAACTGCATGTGCAGCAAGTAAAGGTGATTGTGATGAAGAATTTGTTGTGAGTAGGAATTGGTTCAATCGTTTCAAAGTGGGCAATTTTACATAACATTAAAGGCCAAGTATGAATTGTCTGTAAGTTGGACATTCATAACCTGGGGACTTACTGTATCGTGCAAGGCAGGAGGTGAATTGTATGGCTAAAAACAGGTAGATTGTAGAAAGGCTGTATATCGAGTGGTTGGGCTCCCTAGGTCCCTTTCTTCATCCTGCATAGCTAGGTGACTATCATTCTTACTGAGGCCCCTGTAAGAGTTTCCTGGTATATTCTCTGGAGAAACTGAATCTAGAGAGGCTCCTGATTTGAAGATACCAGCTATAGTGGAGGGTAGAGCTGAGGTTGAGACTGGAAAGGAGAGAATTAAATGAAATTTTATATACTGAGCTGTGAGAAGCTCAGCTCCCTCCCCCTGCTTTTCCCTGGCCGCTGCTAGGCTTATGCTCCCTAGGCAGAGGATTAAACTCTTTTTGGAGAAACTGACTCACAGATACTGACATTTGGTGATCCCCTACGGAAAAACTGGCTCACTGCCTGATCCCCCTATAGTAAATCTCATCTCTCCACACACCCTTCCTCTTCTGTGCAGAGTCAGCTTAAGGTAATTTATTGTGAAATATATTGTATGTAGAAAAGTATATAAAATGTATATGTAAAGTTTAATAATAACATGTGAACACCTATGTAGCTACCACCTAGCTTAAGAAATAGAACATTAACCATACTTTAGAAGCCCTCTGTATAACCTTCCCCAATTGTAGCCGTCTTTCCCTCTTGTCCCCCATTCTGTGGAAGAGGCAACTACGTTTCTTGCTTTTATGTTAATCATTCCTTGCTTTTCTTTAAAGGAGCCCTGGTAGCGCAGTGGTTAAATGCTCGGCTGCTAACTGAAAGGTCTGTGGTTCAAACCCAGCAGCCATTCCATGGGAGAAAGATGTGGCAGTCTGCTTCCATAAAGATTACAGCCTTGGGAACCCTATGGAGCAGTTCTGCTCTGTCCTGTAGGGTTGCTATGATTCAGAATCGACTCAATGGCAATGGGTTTCATTTCTTTTGTTTTTATTTTCTTTATAGTTTTCCCACATGTATTGTTTTATTTTGAAAAGCTGATTAGGAAGCCAAGCCTGGCTGAGGAAAGGGCAGTTGTCACTACTAGATGAAGGCTTCCAGAAGACAAAGGGATGAACATAGTGTCTGAGTCTTGGTCTGACTTCACCTTCTTTGAGAGTTTATAAGAGCCTTTTCTGGGGAGGTCAGTGGGCAAGGCCACGAGTGAGTCCTGGTAAACATAAGGCTTACCCTAGTCAGAACATCTGGCAAGGCCTATAGTGAGGGTCAGGTACTGGATGTGCTGCTGAAATACGGTCAGAGGAGGCAACTGCTCTATCTTTTCTTCTAAGCTCACATGGCCTGCTTCCAGCTCTCAGGAATATGTCAAAGCAGAATACTTCTGTGGGATGAAATGAATGTCCTTAGCTGATCTAGACAAAGAAGGGAGAGTAG